CACACACACACACACACACACACACACACACACACACACACACACACGGGAGAAGAACCGGAAATAGCTCCTTTATGATACCATCCTGCTTTCCATCATGACTCAGGTGGAGACCCTTTGTTGCAAGAGGAGATGTCTGGACTCTCTAGCTTGCCATGCACAAGGACACATCTACTAGCTACTGCCTCCTGTCACGATTGAGGGCTTTGAAACATAGGCAAAAAAAAAAAAAAAAAAAAAAGAGGAGGGAGAATTAAAAAATGGAAATGCCACTGAAGCAATCTAGAAAAAAGGAAGCAAGAGCGAAGGCTGATCACGAAGCTCCTGCTGGCTTCACCTCTCAGCATCCTGCACTCACCTCCCCCTTTCAAATCTTCCCTTATAATGGTAATGAGCAGATATAAATAATTGAAAATGAAAGAGCCTATGGAAACAGAAAAACAGCTGTTAGCTTATCAGAGCTCATCGCATGAGACTCAGCCTGACTTATGTAAGAGGCGGCACAGCTACGTTATCTATCTGCATATTCTGTAAACATGTATTAGATATGTGCTGTATGTGATACTCTTGGCGTATGGACTTTATAGCCCTTTTAAAATCATGTTTATGCATTTATTTATTTGCATGTCTGTGTGTGTGAGAGACAGCGACAGAGAGAGACAGGGACAGAGAGACAAGCGGAGAATTCATATGCACTCCACAACAGCACCTGTGTGGAGGTCAGGAGATAACCTGTGGCAACTGGTTCTCTCCTTTGACCCTGGGGTCCAACTCAGTTGTCAGGTTGGTCGAAGGTTCTTCTGCTGAGTCCTCCTGCTGCGCCATAGTACTCCTTTTTACTTTGCTTTTCTGTTTTGCTTTTGCTTTTATGTGCTCTTTCAAGGTTTTTTTTTTTTTTTTTTGAGACAAGGTTTCTCTGTAACCTTGGCTGTCTTGGACTCACTCTGTACACCAGGCTGGCCTGGAACTCACAGTGATCCACCTGCCTCAGCCTTCTCAAGTACTGTGATCATAGGTGTGCACTACCATGCCAGGCTTATATATATATATATATATATATTTAACTTGCTGTATAATCAAGGATGTCCTCAAATTTCTGATCCTCCTGCTTCCATGTCCTGAATGCTGCTGGGGTTACAGGACTACACCAACATTCTAGGCAAGATTCTGTCTTGATTTTGTTGTTGTTGTTGATCTGGTGTGTGTGTGTGTGTGTGTGTGTGTGTGTGTGTATCACAGTGCTCATGTGGAAGTCAAAGGGCAACTTTTGTGAGTCAGTGTTTTTCCTTTAACCGTGTGGATCCCAGTGATAAAAAACCAGGTTTCTATCTGTTTTGATGACAAGTGCTTTACCTGGTGAGCCATCTTGCTTGCCCAAGATTCTGTTTTTGAGCTAAGTGCTAAACCCTGTGCTGGGCTTCGGGAAGCATGCAAGAGGAGAGATGGTGGCCCCCCTCCCCAGCTCCCCAGTTCAGTTCCCATATCCACTCATCATTCCTACAGGTGAAGCTTCCTCTCTGCAGCCCTGGATGCCATGTTTCCATATCCACCACACATCACGCCCTCAAGGTCAACAACAGGATTTTATTATGTGTCGGGAAGCACCCTCTCTTTTCTATTTCTCTGACATCTAAGGAGAAAGGCAACAGGAAGATCTAGGAGAGGGGCCCCGTCAAGTGTTCCCAGCTCCACAGCTGCTTCTACCTCTGGCCATCCTCCTTCCCCTCCTGTCCCCTGGTGCCTCAGTTGGTCTTCTCGGGTGGCTCGGGCTGGTTCACGGGACATAGGCTGTCCCTCCACAGGCGGTAGGTGATGGTGGTGGTCACAGTGAGCCAGGCCAGGTAGGGTAGCAGGAGCAGAGCAGCCAGCTTGTTGATGGGCTGCCAGATAAGCACCACGCTTGCCACCAGCCCATAGAGCAGCAACAGGTCCAGGAGGGCCTGGGCAGAAGCGTTGGGAGGCTGTAGCTATTCTGTCTCAAGAGCCAGGACCCTCTGCGTTTCTACAGTATCCTGACCCAAGAAATCCCGCCCCTGGGGATGCTGTGCACACTATAGGAATTGCATACGCATCCCTAGCTGGTTCCTGCTGTCAGCCATCTGATGTGGGGCCCTGTGGTTTCACATTCTCCTTTCACATTCTCCCAGCACGGAGTACCACACGCCTTACCAGCCCAGGGCTGTTGGCTGCCAAGAAGAGCATCAAGAATGTCCAGCTGAGGGCGAGTTGGAAAATGTAGAGGCCAAGGGGCAGTGCTAGGGACCATCGGAAGCCCCCTCCCAGGTCCTTCCACACCAGGTAGGAGGCATAGCTGCAAGGAGAAGATGTTCTGTAGGAGAAAGGCCCTCTGGCATAAGGCCTCCTAGCTCTCAGTGGAGTAACCTAAGGTTGACATGTGGGCAGGTGGGTGCGGGCATCATTTGAGGGCCAAAGGAGGAGCCAGAGAGGTGGCTTGGCAGGTGAGAGCACTTCCTGCTCTTCTAGAGGACACAAGTTTGGTTCCCAGTATCCTTGTCAGGTGGTTTATAACCTCCTGTATCTGCAGCTCCAGGAGATGCAATGCTTTTTTCTGACCTTCATAGGCACTCACACACAGCATAAGTCACACACACACACACACACACACACACACACACACACACGCAGAGACACACAAACATAAAATAAAACAAGAGAGCTGGTGGGAGGCTTTGGTTGTCCTGGAGAGAGGGAAGGGAATCTTAGAGAGGGGAAAGCAGAGGGCTTGTTGGAATCTGAGGTGTGCAGAGCATTTCTGCTTGTGGGACCCCTACTTGAAGAGCAACAACGGGGTGCCACCATTTGGAGGCCAGAGTATAGCACGCACAAGGTCACACTGACACTGGGGATTCGATTCCACCCCAACAGGTACTTAGGTCACACACTCACCCCATGACGGAGTAGATGATTGCCCATACCAGCAGTATGACCTTGTAGGGTGGGCACCAAGGCAGCTTCCTCTCATCTTCACACCAATTGGGTATCTGACCAGTGAACATCCAAATCAGGATAGGCCCCAGGAGGGGCACACCCACAAAGACAGGTCCTTGAAGCTGCATTCACTGCAGAGGCAAGATCTGGGAAGGCAGAGAGCATGCTGGGATGAGCCTTCCTCCTTCCTTCTCTTGGGCCTCCAAACTTTACTATTACCTAGCCAGAGTTTCTCATTGGAGGTCCAATCATGGAGATCCCCCTGTCTTGAGCCCAGCTCTAGTCCTGACCCCTGATCCATCTCCACCAACCACTACCCTGTCCATTTCCTGGCATCCACGGTCTTATGTTCTGAGTGTACACCATTCAGCAGCCGCTGGGGAGTACTGTTTTCTATGGGCAACTGCTCCTGAGGCAAAGGCTTCCTGCTCTATGGTCATCTGACTCCTGGAAGTCAGGACCAGGTTTGATCTTCATCTCCCACCACAGGCAACACCTGGCCAGGCAGATAGCCAGCCTTTATGTCCCAAAGATTGCACCTCACTGAAGCTGACAGTGATCAGACTGGGAGTACCCCTGCTCTGTAGAGATTTCCTCTGAACTGAAACAGTCTCTTCCTGGAAGGAGAGAGGAGGGATGGGGAATGGGGGAGGAGGGAGGCGAGAGGAGGGAGGACAGAAGAGGGAGCGTTATGAAGCTTATTTGTTGGTTTACCAGACTGCACTTGGCTGGGACCATTTCTTTGGTTTTCTGTCAGTACACTTTTGGGTTGAATAGATGTCTGTCTGCATCTCCCCAGGAAGACACATGGCAACCATGCTGAGTGTAGGAGCCAGAGATCGCTGGGACAATTACAATCCCCAATTGCCCTGCTCATCTGCTTCAACCTTATCTCATTAGACCAGACCAGCACACTCAAGAGGCCCACCCTGGCTGGCCTGGACAGTTCAGGCGTGGCCAACGGATGCTGTGGAGCCCCTTCTCTGAAGCTTTCACTCTCAACTGCCACAGGAATGTGCTCTCATCTCCCCACTCCCACAGGTCTGGTCTGCACACACAGGTGTCCCCGTTTCTTGTGGTCTGACTCCCAAGGACACAACAGCCTGATCTTCGACGGGAAAAAAAAATACCATTGTCTTTTGCATCTCATTTACATGTTGCTTTTTTTGTGTGCCATTTGCATGTAGGCCAGTGTGTAGACTCTCTTCCTACCAGGGCTGCAGCCAGTATCAATTTCTCACATCTTTATGCTAGTTCAGCTTCTGTCTTAAGATCAATGGAATTGGAGAGAAATAAAAATCGGATTGTTTTCAGTGTTCTAGACTGAGTAACAGATCTATCCCTTCCTATCAAGGGTCAGAGACACATTCTGGAGAATCCAGGGACAGGGCTGAACCTTGTGCCTTTCTGTGCATTTTTCTGTTTGGTTCTCTCTGCTTCTCACTGTCTACTGTCTAGCTGCCTGCCCCTCTCCCCGTCTCAATTTTTCCTGTTATTTAATCCAGCGCTGGAGGCCTCCCTCATTGACCATGCTCACCCTCTTTTCTCCTGCTATCCATCACTCCTGCTCCCAGGCCTTCCTCACTTACCTCAGGCACACACCTCCCAGGCTGGCTGCCTGTTGATGTATGATGTGTACAAGAGAGAAGATGGTGAGGGACTGGAAAGGGGTGGAGCCAGGCTCCTTGTGATCTGCCTTTCTCAGAAAAGGGTGGTGATGTCTATGAGGAATCTATGTTGCTGTTTGCACAAGGGCTTGTGTTCACAAGCTCCCCATGATCTGTTAGACCATTTGTGTGTGTGTGTGTGTGTGTGTGTGTACACATGTGCGCGTGTGCACGTGTGAGCTTGCTAAGGGCTTCCTGTCTGTTGACGAGCACTCTACCACTGAGCTGCTCTTCCTACCCTTCCTCTTATGGCTCGCCTCAGCTCCTTCTTGATGTATGGATCCTTGGGGGAATCCCCCTCAGTGGGCTAGTTCAGAGTTTGATGTTGAGACCTGGACCTTCTGTAACAGCCAGGAGTTACAATCTGACTGGTACCCATGCTCTCTGTGGCCCAGCTCTGTGTCCCCAGGAATGGTAGGGGCCCTCAGATTTCCCGAGAGCCTTTCTGGAGCCAGATTTTCTCCAAGTGAGGCAAGTACCAGCTTTGGGAATGAGTTCATGATCTATGAACACAGTCCCTAAGTACAGCCTCCTGGTTGGCCTATCTCTGCCTGGCTGGAAATTGTAATTTGGCAGATCTCTCCTAACCTCCATGCTGGCAGCAGAGGTGGGTTGGGGATCTGGCAGGCATGGCTTGATGCTTCCTGGCAGTGTTCTACCTCCCCGCCACCATGAAGAGGGGCAGGGGAGAGTGACCCTGTCTGCAGGCAAAGTCCACTTTTCTGTATGACTCAGACAGCTTTGTGAAACAAAGACAGGCACCTCCCCTGTTTGTTCCCTGTTTGAATTCTGGGCAGCCTTTCTTGCTAGTCCTCTAGGCACCGGGTCTCCTTTGCCAGGCTGGCTGCTCTCCATGGGTTCCCAGTGACATCCAGGGGGGCTCCCCCTTCCCATCTCCACGCAGGCACCAGAGCAGGGGGGAAGGGGTTGCAGAGAGGGACACGAGGCTAGAGAATAATTAACTGAAAAAGGAAAGGAGCGAAAACTACTTTTATATTTTCTTTTGCGTGTGTGTGTGCTCAGGGGTGTGCATGTGTGTGTGGGTGTACATGTGTGTATGTGGATGAGGGGTATGTTATACGCACATGGAGGCCAGAGGATAACCTTGAGGGTCAGCTCTCTCATTTGGACTCCACCATCTTTATCTCTCTCTCTCTCTCTCCAAGGTGTATTTAGAGGCTGGTGAGATGGCTCAGTAGTTAAGCATGCTTGTGGCTCTTGCAGAAGACCTGAACTCAGTTCCCAGCACCCACATCAGTGGTTACAGTAACTCCAGCTTCAGGGGATCTGATGCCCCCTTCTTGTGTCTGAAGGCCCCCACGTGCACACGCACTCACACATACATAAACACATACACATAAGTAAAAATGAAAACAATATTAAAATATCTTATTTTATTTGATGAATAATAAGTCCATATTTATTGGGTATAATGCAAGATGTCTTGATATGTGGATACATTCTGTAGTGATCAAATCAAAGTGGTCAGTATAATAAGTTCTTTAAACATTATCACTGAGGTTGTGAGAACAGTTAAAATCTTGTTTTCTCACTATTTCACAATGTACGGTACACTGTGGTTTATTATATACACATTGCTGTACTACAGTCTCACAACACTGTACTTACTCCTATCAAACTGTAACCGACTGACCAGTATCTCCCCAACCTCCTGTTCCCTACTTTTCCCAGGCTTTCATAGCCGAAGTCCCATGTTTATTGCAGTGCTCTTCACAAAAGCCAAGATACAGAGTCAATGCAAGAGCCCATGGGAAGGTGACGGGGTGCTGAAGAGGCAGACGGCAGCAAACCAAACGGGTGGGCAGCTCCCTTCCCCCAGGGGGCTTTCATCCTAGAGATGCCTTACCTCCTGGACTGGGCTCTTAAGGTCTCAGAGCCTTGAGAGGGACGGCATTAACTCTGACTCGCCGGCCAGGGGAGTGTCCGGCCCCCAAGGGCAATATCCGGCCCCGAAGAACCTTGTTCCACCAATTCTGAGGAGTAGGGAGCATATAGACACGTTCTTCACGTTTTGTACCTGTGTGATCTCCCCGTGCAGGAAGGATTGAAAAGAGACCCAAGAGGGCCTGAGCCAGCCACCTTGGTTCACCCGGAAGGTTCTCTGAGCTGAAGTCTTGGGTCCTGAGCCGGTGGAATCAGACAAGGGTTGCGTTTGAACAAAATTCCCAGGTGAGTTCTGTGCAGGTCATGGTTGGCTGACAACCTCTTAGGGAAGGTTTCCTCCTCCTCTTCCGTACTATACAGCCTTTAGTAGGGACCACCACTCACCAGCAGAGGGCAGTGTCAGTAGGTGCACCAACGCTGCCTCCCTTCCCCCTCCCTTCCTGACCAGCCCTGGGAAGTGTATTAATTTCTAGCATCCCCAGCTACTCCCGTGCTTCCCCTGGACTTTGCCAACAGACAAAGACTATCTCCACCACCCCTCCTTATCGTGAAAAGGAGGCAGGAACCTGCTGGGAAGTGGCAGGCCACACCTACCTGCATTCCCCACCCTGGTCCAATTGTCTGCTGGCCTGGAGACAGGTCTGGTTGACCTCTCTGTGTCTTAGACAGGTAACTATTGCTTCTGGACTGGCTAGCGGCCTCTGGGGGGCAAGTCGACATTAAGGTGAGGACCCTTGGGGCCGTTGCAAGGGTCATGGCTATGGGGCTCAGAGAAGTGCCATTGTCTGCTTAGCCCAATCTTGGGGACACTCTGCACCGGGAGGGAAGGAAGGTCGTCTTGAGGAAGGGCTGGTGCTGGTGGTGTCAGGAGCAGGGGGATGATTCTATGTTGGTGGAACTGTATATTGGGCTCATGAAAACTGGACCTGAACTGTGTGTGGCCTCATTCATTCTGTCTTATTGTTGCTATTTTCCTGGTACTGGGCCTTGAATCCAGAACCTTGGGTGTGCAAGACAAGTAAGTGTTCCACCCCTGGGCTACATCCCCAGTCCTCCTTTTACTTCCATTTTTGTTTGTTTGAGATAGGGTCTTACTATGTAGCCCTCCTGGCCTGGAGGGCCAGGTCTACTATGCAGACCAGGTTGTTCCAAACTCAGAGAGATCTGCCTGCCTCTGCCTCCCAAGTGCTGAGATGAAAGGCATGGACCATCATGCCAGGTCCTTACTTTTCATTTATTTATTTATTTATTTATTTATTTATTTATTTATTTATTTATTTATTCCCTGAGGCAGGGTTTCTCTGTATATCCCTGGCTGTCCTGGACTCATTTGTAGACCAGATTGGCCTTGAACTCATAGTGACCCACCTGCCTCTGTCTCCCCGAGTGCTGGAATTCAAGGTGTGCACCACCACACTGGGCTAGTGTCCTTACTTTTAAAGACAGATTCTTGTTATATTGCCCAGGATGGCCTTGAACTCTCTGTATGCTCAGGCAGGCTTTGAACTTGTGCTTCTTCTCCTTTAGCCTTCAGAGTAGTTGGGGTTACTGGCTTGTGCCACCAAGCCCAGCTCAGGCTGGTACTTTCTGTGTCTTCTAAAAGCACTTGAATCTCTTATCAGGTGTGCTGGAGGAGCAGGAAGGAGGGAAGTGTGTGCAGGATATGAACAGATCTTTGCAGCAGGCATCTGGATCTTTGTTCGGAGGACAGGTGATGAGAGAATTCTAATGTCCCTGTTTAAGGGAAATGCTACCTCTGGACTCTGGAGGTAGACAGATTGGAAGAGCTGGGTTCTGAGGACTCGGACATGGAGTTGGAGGACCCAGGGAATTTGTTGTTCTGTGAGGCATTTCCCTAAACTCTGGCTCCTTTCCCTTCTTAGGATCAGAGGCAGAAATGGGGTGAGAGATAAGGCAGGCTGGAAGAGTGGTCTGCTGTGCCCCAGGCTTGATCTGGGGATGAGTTAAGCTGCCTCAGGCCAGAGAAATGAGCCCTGAGCGGCCCAGGGGGCTGTGGGATTGGTCTGTGCCAACTCCCCAGGTGGGGCAGCTGGCAATGGGACATGGCCCAGTGGAGTGGAGGGGATTTGGACTCTGGTCTTTAGAGGCCTCAAGAAGGCTGTTGTTATGGCAACAGAGTAGTTCCTCTCATTTAATTTTTATTTATTTATTTTTTTAATCAGCCCATCCTTGCTACTGGAACCTTGGTGGGCAGGGCATGCATGTCATTACTTTCCATTGAACTCAGAGATGCCTATGTTCCTTTTTAGTTTCTTCTAGTTCCTCGTCTTCCTTCTCCCCTTTCACCTCTTCCTGTTCACCTTTTTTCCTCCTCCTTTTCCCTTTTCTTGTTCTCTTTTTTCTCCTGCTGTCCTCCTCGTCTTTTCTCCCTTCTTCTTCCTTCTATTCCCCCTTTCTTGTTTTTATTTTTGTGTATGAGTGTTTTGTCTGCCTGTGTGTATGTGTACTATGGTCAAACAGTGTCCACAGAGGCCAGAAGAGGGCGTCAGATCATTTGGGACTAGAGATACAGATGGTTGTGAGCCCCCATGTGGGTGCTGGGAATCAAATTTAGATCTTCTGAAGGAGCAGTCAGTGCTCTTAGCCACTGAGCCATCTCTAGCCCCTTTCGTTTTCTTTCTTTCCTTCCTCCCTCTCTCCCTTTCTCCCTTCCTTCTTCTATCCATCCTTTTTGCCTTCCTTTGAGACAGAGTCTCAGTGTATGTCCTGAAACTCTAATCTTCCTGCCTCACCCTCCCAGGTGCTGGTATCACAAAGCAGAAGCACCTTTCTTCACTTTTGCTCCTTTCTCTCTAGAAGTGGGAACCAAGAAACCTAGGAACCAAAAAGGAGTTGGGTAAGTTGGGGTGGGAGGGACTCTAAACTCATCACTCCTGTATGCCTTCAGTTGCCATTTAACAATCCTCCCTCTGTCCCTGCAGCAGGCAAAAACCTCTCTTTTCCTTCCTTCCTTCCTTCCTTCCTTCCTTCCTTCCTTCCTTCCTTCCTTCCTACCTTCCTTCCTTCCTTCCTTCCTTTCTTTCTTTCTTTCTTTCTTTCCAGGGTTTCTCTGTGTAGCCTTGGGTGTCCTAGACTCAATTTGTAGACCAGGCTGGCCTTGAGCTCACAGAGATCCACCTGCCTCTGCCTCCCAGGGTGCTGGGATTACAGGCTTGTGCCACCCTGCCCGGCTTACCTCATCTTTCTTATCTGTGAAATGAAGACACGAATGACACCAGCTCAGAGGCCCATGTGAGGATGACATGAGTTAAGCCATTACTATTACGGTTTTCATAGTTGTAACTGTTATTAAAAGTAAAAGCAGTAAAAGGAATGAGGATTAAGGGGAGCTTGCTTCCTTAACTCACTCAGCTTCCAACTGGCCTGACTGGCCTGCAGCCTTGCAGGGGGTCTAGGTAACGAAGGCTGAGCCTCCTAATGTTGTGAAAGGAATGAAGTTCCATCTCTGGTGAGGAGTCCATGTCTTCAGTGAGGACTCAGGAGAGATAGGTCCCCTGATCTTCAGTGGTGATGATTCCGAGGAGCATCTGCCCGTCAGGAAGGCAGAGGAGAGGCTGCCTCTGTTGGGAAGGGAGAGACATTTTTGTAGGTCTTCGGAGGGAAAGAAGTGTCGAAGTTTAGCTGCAGGTGACTGGTGACGAAGCTTCACCCGTACTGAAGCTTCACCCGTACTGGTGCTGGGAGCTTTCCCAGTCAGAGCAGAACTCGGTGAATTGCAGAGGCCTCCTGTAAAGAAGGACATCGTGCTGCAAGGAACCCAGCTGCCAAGGGGAGGGATTGCATTCCCTTACAGCAGCTCCTTTGGCACTTTTGGAGCCTCCCATGGTGCCTGATATGCAGCTGGTGATCAGAAAACATTCATTTTAGTGAGAAGGCTGGCGTGACAGCATATAAGGAAGAGCTTCTCAGGCAGGATTGACAGCGGAGAGGTGCTAAGCCAGTCAAGGTCTGTGCATCATCAGGGCTGCAAGTAGCCAAAGCCAGGGGCCAGAATGCCCAGGATATAGAGAGTTTGGAGGTGTTAGGACTTCACAGGGCTCAAGGGGGAGATAGAAGGGGTGGAAGCAGATGCATGGGTGTGTGTGTGTGACATGTATCCTGGGGGTTACAATAAGTTCCAGACTTCCAGTGGCTACTATTGCCAGGCTATGAGGTGAGCTCTCAGTGAGCATGTGTTTTGGGCTTACCTCATTTCCGCCTCTCTGTAGGCCCCATCTTTTTTTTCTTCTTCTTTCTCTTTTTTTTTTCTCCTTTTTTTGCTTCCATTTTTAATTTTTGCTGATCATGCTGAACTGAGCGTATGGCTGGGAGTGACCTTGGACCTTTATGGCAGAAGGAGGGGCATAAACAAACACACATTTAGATAGTGCTTTGTCATCTACAGGTGCTTCTCACTCCATCCCCATTAATTGCCAGAGAGAGCTTTTTTCTCCTTCTACCTTCAGTAAGTTCAAATCAGAATCATCAGACTGGACTATAGTTGAGTAACAGAGAACCTGCTTAGAATGTCCAAAGTCCTGGGCCTCAACAATCCCCTGGACCAGGGAGATGACTTGGTTTGTAGTGTACTTCCTTGCATCACGAGAGCAAAGCTAGGCCCTCGTACCAATGTGAAAAACAGGGCATAGTGGCTTACATTAATAATCTGTGCCTTCAGGGCTGGAGATAGGTCGATCCCTGCGGCTCATTGGTCAACCATCCAAGCCTTCTGTGGGTGAGCTCCAGATCCTAGTGAGAGACCCTTTCCCAAAATATAAACAAAGAAAACCAAATCAAATCAAATCAATCAAATCAAATCAAATCAAATCAGAGCAAAGCAAATCAGAGCAAAGCAAAATGAAACAAAACAGCCCAAACCAGGGGCTGGAGAGATGGCTCAACAGTTAAGAGCCTTGGCTGCTCTTCCAGAGGTCCTGAGTTCAATTCCCAGCACCTGCATTGTGGCTTAAAACTGTCTGTAGTCCCATGGGATCTGAATCCTTCTTCTGGTGGGCAGGTGTACATGCAAACAAAATACCCATACACACACAAAACAACCAACCAAACAAACAATAGAAAAGCCTAAACCAAAACCAAAGAAACAAAAAATGAGGTGGGGGCTGGAGAAGTAGCTCAGTGGTTAAGAGCACTTGCTGCTCTTCTAGAAGGTCGGAGTTTGCTTCCCAGCACCCATGTCAAATAGCTCACAACTGCTTATAACTCTAGATCCAGGGGAATCGGATGCTTCTGGCTTTTTTAGGCATTGAATGCATACCTACGCCTCCCCACACCTATATGTAATTAAAATGATAAAAATAAGTCTTAAAAAAATCCAAGGTAGATGGCCTGAATATGATGCCCAAGGCTGACATCTAATTTCTGTATGCATTTCCTCCTATATGCATAGATGTGTGCACACAATTACAAAGCTCATACAAAGGACATGCTTGCTTCAAAAAATATTCAAGCAATACAGAGCTTGCCGGAATTCATTCCTGTGTTCTCCAGTTGTCATGGTTTTCAGTGGACATCAACAGAACTAGGACAGGAGGAGCTACAGAACTCAGTGTGTGGACTATAACAAGTCCAGGCCAACCTAGGTGTAGAGAACTCATGGAGTCAGGTTGGGAAACAGCTCACTAATGTGTTCATACCCACTGCCTGCTGGAATCATATATTTCAAAAATAATTTATTTAATTTAATTCTCTGTGCCTTGGCATGAAGGTGTCAGAATACATGGGACTGGAGTGGTAGACAGTTGTGAGCTGCCATGTGGCTCCTGGGATTTGAACCCAGGTCCTTTGGGAGTGCAGCTAGTGCTCTTAACCACTGAGCCATTTCTCCAGCCCCCAAAATAATATTTTTAATATGTTCTATTAAATATAAATATTATTACTTTAAAATATATTTAGTTTGGTATTCATTATGTGTGTATATGTCTGTGTGAATGTACGCCCATGTGTGTGAGTTCCCAGAGAGGTCAAAAGAGGGCATTGAATTCTACGGAGCAAAAGTTGTAGGCATGAATGCTGGGGTTGAATCTAGGCTCTCTCCAAGACTTGTAAGTCCTTTAACCATTGAACCGTTTCTCCAGCCCCTACCCTTACTTTGTAATGTGACCAATAAAATGTGTCAAGTTGTCAAGTTACATAATTGGCTAGTGCTTTTATGACAAGCCACTGTCCTAGACTCTTTTCCATAGTTTACGTCCTCTCTCTCTCTCTACACACACACACACACACACACACACACACACACACACACACACGTGCACTTTCTTCACGTGTTGCGCAAGGCCCTGGGCAGAGCCCTCTACCCTAAGCTACGCCCTCAGCCTACATGTGTAGTTTACATTAATGAGGTTGCCTTTCTTCTCTTACAGATTTTTTTTTTTTAAATGAGAGCTTACAGATTAAAAATAGATTTTGTTTTTGAGATGCTGTGTAGGCCAGACCAGCCTCCGATTCAGCATCTTCCTGCCTCAGTCTCCTGGTTGCTAAGATGATAATAGGTGTGTATCTCTACCGACTCAGAAGTGGATATTTGGATGGATGAAGATGATGGGGTAAATTAAGCCACATAACGGCCACAACACGCGCAGTGACCAGCACGGCTTTGAGCTCATGTCCTCAAACTCTGAATACGAGTTGCTTTATGTCCCAGGATTTATTTTGCTCTAACCAGGTTGTGTGTGTGTGTGTGTGTGTGTGTGTGTGTGATTGTGTGTGCCTGTACTGGGTAAGGGAAAGAGAAAGGAGCAAGGTAGCACCCCTGCAGGGAGGCAAGCCTTGGCCTCCACAAATTAAGAAGGCCTGCCCTACTGACTCTCTCCACTTTCCCCCCAGGCCCTTGGCCTTGGCTGGTGCAGGGGTGCAGGAGAGCTGGCAGCATCGGGTGACCGGGGGATGAGCCCCCAGGAGAGTTCTGTCCAACCTTTGCAATTGCTCCTGTTGGTGGGGATCCCCGTGGCCAGTGCTTTCCTTCTACTTCAGTGCCTTCGATCGCACTGTTCTCAGTGGCTGCCGAGGGCCTCCCGGAAGCCAGATGACCAAGAAGAACCAGTCTCCCCACCCACCCCGTTACCAGAATACGAGCTCCCGAGGCAGTGCCCACCTTCGACGCTACCGGAGGTGGCTTCGTTCTACCAGGAACTCCACACGCCCACCCGGGGCCAGACTGTCACCCGCCAGCTGATGCACAAGCTCCTGGTGTTTACTGCTCGAGAGGTGGACCACCGGGGTGGATGCCTGATGCTGCAAGACACTGGCATTTCCCTGCTCGTCCCTCCAGGTAACCCCTCCCAGCCTCCTCCGCCGCAGAGTTCTTCAGACAGCAAGTTAGGGTACCTTAGCTGAGCGCCACCCACAGACAACTTCAGAATTTGGAAAACTGTATTTGGAGCTTAGCTTTTTTTTTTTTTTTTTTTTTTATTCCTAAGATGAAGTAAAATGCCTTGCTCTAGCTGGGTGGTTGGTGACACATACTTCTAACCCCAGTGCTGGAAAGGCAGAGTCAGGTGCGTCTCTGTGAGTTCGAGGCCAGCCTGGTCTACAGAGCAAGTTCCAGGATAGCCAGGGCTACAAAAAACAAAACAAACAGCAACAACGACAAACCGAGAAACAAAACAAAAAACAAAAACCCAACAAAACAAAGCCTTGCCCTAAAGACAGCCTGCTATGATAATTCTCCAAACAGAAGAAGGAAGACTGGTTTGTTGAGTCACACAAATCCCAGCACAAGTAGCTGTGGTCCTGGAAGGAAACCAGTGGCTGTTTTAGGACTGCACCCCAAGCCAGCTAGCAGTGGGCTCCCTCAGTCCATCCAGCCTCTCTGTGTTCTGCTGGGCACCCTCGGTCCTGGGGCTTTGGGCTGCGATTCCCTGCCCACTCTGGCTAGCCTCTTCAAGGGGCAGAACACTCCGCCTGGCTATTCTCATCTCATCCTTTTGTCCCTCCAGGTGCTGTCATGGTGGGTCGCCAGGAGAGGGTGTCCTTGGCTCTGGTCTGGGACCTGACAGATGCCCCGTCATTGTCTCACCGACAGGGACTAGTGAGTCCTGTGGTGGCATGTGGCCCTCATGGAGCCTCTTTCCTGAAGCCGTGCACCCTCACATTCAAGCACTGTGCCCAGCAGCTCAGTCAGGCCTGTGTCTACACCAGCAATACTTCCTTGCTTGATGCCAAGGTCTGGAGGCCTCTGGGTCGGCCAGGGGCTCACATCTCCAGGGATGAGTGCCACATCCTGCTCTCTCACTTCAGGTAGGCCTTTGTTCGTTGGCCTGTCCTCCTGCTATGTGCCACTGGTACTGTCCCCCGGGGCCTGTCCTCTTGTTCTGTGTCTCTCTCTGGCAGTGTCCTTTCTCTCTGTCTGCCTCCTTCTTATCCTTGTCAGAACTGCCTGCCCCTTTATTCATCTGGGAAGCTTTAACAGTCTCTTAGGATCCTTGTGTCCCTCTTTCAGGCCATGGAAGTCCTTTCTGATACCCCATCTGCGGCCATCATTGTCCAATCACTGTCTCACCGACTATCTGGAGATATCTGATTCAACTCACCCCTCTGTCTAGCAGGCACGTGCAACCCACAACCAACAGGCCCCAGACGGCCCGAATAGCTACAAACAAGACCCAACACAAAATAGTAGACTTGTTTAAAACTTTTTAAAACTCAGTTGCGTGGTTCTGGAGTGTGACTTTGAGGATGGCATCACTGGGCCTCAATGTCAAAGACACACCTGTAGCGAGTCTGTCCCATCCCTACATCTGGCTGTCTTTTATAGCTCCCTCTCTCTACCCTCTGCCCCTCTTCAGGACTGTCTCTAAACTCTTAAGGGTAGGTTGTCCCCTTCAGGCTCATGTCGTGTCTGTCCTCCATCTCTTAGACACCTAGATCCTCTGCTTCCCAGTTTCCTTGTCACCCACTGACTAGAGGAGGACATTGTGCAGGACGCCGGAAGTCACGGGGACCCTGTGACTACTCTGTCTCTATTCCCTGCTAATCCACACTGGCTGTCCCCCCAAGTATGTGGTAGTCACTGTATTGGTAACGCTCTTCACTGATGTGACAATATGCCAGAAGTGACTTAGGAGAGGAAGGGTTTATTTGGGTTCACAGTTCAAGGGTTCACTTAGTCACGGAGGCAGGAGCTGGTGGCAGCTGGCCATGCTGCCTCTGGAGTCAAGCCTTAGAGAAAGACATGACTGTTGCGGCTCCATCTGATTTTCTCTCAGCCCAGGAACCTCATCTTGTCTGTCAGGGTGGTTCTTCCCACCTCAGTAACTCAAACGAGAAGCTCCCTCACAGGTAGGCCCAGAGATTTGTCCAGGTGATTCTGGATCCTGTCAAGTGGACAGAATTAGCATCACAGTCATCATGGCCCACCCACTTCTTGACCCTCTAAGCCACTCTGTCCCTCACCTAGTCCTCCCTCTATGCCTATTTGTAGGGCTCTTCTCACCCACATCCCAGGAGCCTTAGCTAACAGGAGCCTGATGGTCCACGTAGAGACCCCTTAGTTGACCAGAGCCTGTGATGCCCACCTTGGGCTCCCGGCTTTCCTGGTGCCTATGCATGTGTGACAGCCACCTTCTCCTTCTGCAGCCTCTACACTTGTGTCCTGGAGGCGTCCCTGGGCCAGGCAGCCCGCAAGTGGCTGCAGCTAGCCATGTTCTGCTCCCCACTGGCACCGGGACAGACCCACCTGCAGCTGCGCGTCTACTTCCTGAACAATACGCCGTGCGCCCTGCAGTGGGCTATCACCAATGAACAGCCTCACGGAGGACGCATGCGTGGGCCCTGCCAGCTCTTTGACTTCACTGGGGCCAGGGCGGACCAGTGCCTGAAGCTCAAGTACATCTCTGAGGGTGAGAAGGTTGGGCCCCAAGGGTTTGGGGATAGGAAGCTCCAGGAGAGGGAGGTTCAGAGCCTCCCTCTGGCCTACCAAGAAATCTGGAAATCTCACTTTTATTTCCTGGACTTGGGTTCCCAGCAGCCTTGAGAGGACCTCCTGGCTTTGTTCACTTTCCTCTGTCTCCCACTCAGTCCGGCAGGCAGCCCACAACAGAGGGATGCTGGGTGGGAGGCTAGCATGGGTGACGAGAGAGGAAGTAAGTTTGTCTGCCTACCAGGGCCTTTCTTAAGGCTCGGCCTGCTGGCTGCCGGTGTTTCTGGAATCCTCTGTGTGGCTGTGGACAGGCAGGTTATTGGGGGGGGGGATATATGGCTGCTTCTAGAGGTGGGGTAGAGGATGAGAGGCCATTGTGTGTGTGGTGTGGTTTGTGTGTGTATATGTATAGCATAGAAACAACCACTTTGAGGTGCCCACTCCAGCTCAAGGATTTCCCTTGGCTTGAGACCCTTCTGCCTTGAGTCATCCTGATGCGTCCCACCAACCTCCTTAGAGACTTGGGGAAGGCCTTGTCCTCTAAGGCTCTCTGCTCTGTCCTCTCCCAAGGTTGGGAAAATGTGGATGACAGTAGTAGCCAGCTGGTTCCCCACCTTCACATCTGGCATGGAAAGTGCCCCTTCCGTTCTTTCTGCTTCCGGAGAAAGGCAGGTATGCCAGGAGCCCCCTTCAATTTCAGTTCTCCCCTCCCAACCACTTTCTTCTGCAATCCTACCCAGAGCCTTTTTCTTGCTCACCCGGCTTGTTTCTTTCTGTAGCCAATGAGAATGAAGACTGCTCGGCATTGACCAATGAGATCATTGTCACCATGCACACCTTCCAGAATGTGAGTCTTGTAGAGGCACAGAGGAAGGGCAGGGCCTTGGAAGGTCTGGCCAAGAGAGATGGGTCCAGTACACAGTGAAAGGGCATTTGTCATAGAACTACTATGGCAGAGCTTTGAGGGACTTAGACCATCTGGCTCCCTAGTTAACCTTCATCCCCTAGCCCTTTCTATGGATGGATGAATGCATCAGAAGGTTAAAAGACTCAAATCCTACATTACCTCTTTCTCCCAACTTGGGGCAGCTAGGGCCTCTGGAAAACCTGGTTTTCTTCAAGGTGATTGTCCCCATCTCTCTTCAGTGGGGATGACTAGTGAGGAGGACTCAAGCAGGCAGAAGGGGGAGGGGCTGTACATTTCCTTCTCCCTTCCTCCCACAGCCTCAGGGAAGAGATGAGCATGTCAGGTTTGAGGGTCTTTGGAAAACCCAAGTAGCACCCTGCAGGTTGAGGGCATTCAGCCTCACACTGTCATTTGGGGAGGATAGTTGGAGGACAGTCTCCCTGTTGCTGGGTGGTGTCATGTGTCTTGGGCTTTCTCCCAGCTTAGAATGCATCCTGCGTGGTTTTATTGTTCTCAGTGGCAAACCCAAGTCTGACCTGGGGTTCTGGAATCTGGGAGGCAAAGGGTCCAGGGTGCTGGGTGGGGTGGGGGTTTTATCTTCTGGTGACAGGTTTGCAGGAGACTCATGAGGAATGGAATGGAGCCCTTTGGGTAAGGAGTTTCTCATGACCCCTGAGTGTGTTCCCTGTTCCTACTGGCGATTCAGGGCCTGGAAACCAAATACATGGAAATCCTCAGATTCCAGGCATCAGAGGAGGAGACCTGGGCGGCACCACCTCCTGCCTCTCAGCCACCCTTGTGCAATAGGTGAGTGACCGTGGCTTGGCTGCTACCTGGTGATGTTTGGCACACCTGTCTCAGCATCTGGAGGTAGAAAGAATGGGAGAATGACTGGGTCTCTCTCTCTGTGTATGTGGTGTGTATGTGGATGTGGAGGCACATGGAGGCCAGAGGTGAACCTTGGGTATTGGTCCTCCGAAGCCACCATCTTGTTTTGTAGATAAAGTCTCTCATGACCAGCAACCCCCAGAAATCTGCCCGTCTTCCTCTCCCCCATGCTAGGGTCACGAGTGCGTGTCACCACACTAGGCTTTTCACATGGGTGCTGACTATTGAACCCAGGATTGTGTAGCAGCGGAGGGAACAGTCTTGGTCTCGGAGCCTTCTGTGAACACTCTGTTCCCCGCCCCAGGCTGCCCCCGGAGCTGTTTGAGCAGCTACAGATGTTGTTGGAGCCTGCCAGTGTTACTGGGAATGACTGGCGAAGGCTGGCCTCACACCTGGGGCTCTGTGGCATGAAAATCCGGTAAGCACCTCAGAGGCACACTGGCGTGGGGGAACGTCAGGACGTCCTGGGAACTGGACTGGGACAAGCGGGTGACTTAAAAGTTAGTGAATGGCTCCTGAGTCCTTCCTACGGCCCATTAGGACAGCTCATTCTGTCAATTCATCCTCAACCTCAAGAGTAACTGTCAGCAGACACTCAAGTCCCTAAACCAGCCACCTGCTTTCCTCATATTTCCGATAAAATCGAGAAACAGAAATTGATTTAAAAAAAAAAGTCACTTCCAGTTTAGCCAAACTGGGCAGAGAGAGCCTCCAGGTCCTCATAACTGTCTTACCATTTAGCCAGGAGACAAAGGCCAGAAGACAAGTAGACCTGGTTATAGGACAGTCTCTCAGCGACTGGGGAAGGTGTCTCGGACCCAGGTTGCCCCAGGGTCTCAGTTCTCTGTTCCAGAGACAGTCTTCCAGGACTGAAGAGAACAGGCAGGCATTAAGATTCCAGTTTTTGTAACAGAGTCTCTTGGGATGTTTGGGGCGTTGGTGTAAACCTTCCCTTGCCTCTCCCCCAACCCCCAAGGCACCAGTGTGTCTGAGCCTGACAAAGCCCATCATTCCTTGTTCATTCCTTGGCTAGGTATAGAGTGGAAGCCTTTTGTATGTTCTCTGTGGAAGTCAGCTTTGAGCTCACCTTCCTGTGTGTCTGTTATGTGAATTTTGTAAGTGGAAAAAAAAGCAGTGATAGTGTCACATTGAAGAGAAGGATGCCTAGCCAGGTATTCTGGTGCACGCCTGTAATCCTAGTACTTGGGGAGGCAGAGGCAGTCTTTGTGAGTTCAAGGCTAGCCTGGTCTACTAAGCAGGTCCAGGACAGCCAAGGCTACACAGAGAAACCCTGTCTCAAAAACCAAAATGAAAAAAAAAAAAAAAAGAAAAAGAAAAAGAAGAAAAGGACACCAGTACTTCTGTAGAATTTAGAATACCTGGCCGCCTCCCCAGGACTCCAAGCCCATTGGTTCAGCATGAGATCAGTTATATGATGTCTGTCTCATAGTAGGTGTGCAATAAATATTTCACAAGGAGTGAGACAAGTCACTGGTACCAGCTTGCCACCCTGTGGCTCAAGGCATGGAAAAGCAGATTATAGGATGATGTGTATACAGCATGTAGCTGGAAGCCTGTCGCTTGTTAACACAGTAAGTGTTAGCAATCACAGTGACAGTGCATCTGGGGTGCCTGCCAAGGAGCTCACAAAGGGACCAGTAGAAGGATGATTCTCTGCTAGGTCCTAGAGGCCAGGCTGTGAATGCAGCGGTCTGAGATGAGTTAGAGCCAGATCTTGGAAGCAGATGAAATTTAAACAATCATTAAGTACCTGTCTATGTGCCATTAAGTACTGGGATGCAAGAGGGAAATAGGTTTTCACCTCCTAGGAGGGCAAATGATCTCTAGCCAGGGACTCTGGGAACTTGAGAATAAGAGCAAGAATTCCTTGTGTCCTCTTGTGTGTGTTTGGCATTTCAGAACACTGAAAAGAGAGACATGAACAGTTGAAGCAGAAATAGAAGTATGACCAGAGAATCCAGAGCATGAAGGGACGCCAGATAGGAGGCCATGGAGGCCTAGTCATTCTAGCTTCCAGAGTAGCTGAGGTGCCAAATGGGGGCAGGATATGCAAAGTGGGATAGAGATGAGCCTGAGGGCAGGAGGAGGCAAGGACAGGCTGGAAATAGCAGTGGATCACCAGGTGGTGAATGAACCAGGTACTCAGGAGTTGTAGATTGGCTGGTAGGTAAAAGGGACTCTGAACTGTTCCTGAACAATGGAGGGTCGCCATAGAAACTGTGAATGTGGCACAACAGAAAATCACAAGCATACTCAAAGCATGAATTTTCTCTCTCTCTCTCTCTCTCTCTCTCTCTGTGTGTGTGTGTTTTAATTTTCATGGTTCCACTGCTGTAATAAAACACCATGACCAAAAGCAACTTGGGGAGGAAAGGGTTTATTTGTCTATTAATGGAAGTTCATGTTGAAGAGATGTCAAGGCAGGAACTCAAGGCAAGAACCTGGGGGCAGGAACTGATGCAGGGGTCATCGAGGGGTGATGCTAACCGCTGTGCGCCCCATGGCTTGCTCAAGCCTGCTTTATTATACCACCCAGGACCATCTGCCCAGGGATGGCAGCACACTCAGTGAGCTGAACCCTCTCTTATCAATCATGAACCAAAGAAATGTCTCCAAAGACTTGCCTACGAGCAATCTGATGGGAGCATTTTCTCAGTTCGGGTTTCCCTTTCCCAGATGACCGTAGCTTGTTTCCAGTTGACAAAAACTAACCACACTGTGTCACAATGTCAAAGGTTGTATATTCTCAGAGGCTTTCCCATGCAAGTTTCTAGCTTACTAAGAGGAACCTGAGGCTTAAGGGGAGCCCGGAGCCATCTCAGCTTTGAAAGTCCCGCCCACCTTGGAAAGTAGGCAAGAACATCCGGAGCAGAGGTCAGGGGTGGAGTGCGAGTAGGTGTTATACTGCTCCCGAGCTTCCCTGCCTTCTTCTCACCGTACCCCTGTCCCTTGGAGACAGGTTCTTGTCCTGTCAGCGCAGCCCCGCCGCGGCCATTCTGGAGTTGTTTGAGGAACAGAATGGCAGCCTGCAGGAGCTACACTACCTCATGACCTCCATGGAGCGGTTGGACTGCGCCTCTGCCATCCAGAACTACCTGAACCGGACTCCTCGGGGCAGCTCTGCCACGATGCACGGAGGCACCTGGGAGAACGATGGCCTAGAGCTGGATGAGAAACTCTAAGCATGCCCCGTGGCCACGCAGGGTGCTTCAGGAGGCCATGCTTGCCTATGAGCTCAGGAACAATGCCGCAGACTCCGGTGGACCGAACTAGAAACCCCGTCGAGGCCTGATGTCCTTGACATCTGCCGCGCCTCAATCAGCACAGCTCTCCATCCTGCCAGCCAACTTTGTCCCGAGTGCAGGCTCCCTCCTGGTCGGTAGGGGGCGCGGGAGTCTGGGAGATGGTGACAGCCAAGCCGGCTACCAGAATAACTTTAATTTTCCCAGTGAATGGCCAGGTGGCCCTGCAGGCACACCTCAGAGGCCGCCCAGTCCACAAGAATTCACGGAGCACCGAGTCTTAGCACTAAAAACTGGGATTATGAGGAATGCCGGCTTCTCCGAACTTGCCCTGGAGTCTGTCGTGCTGAATGGAGCCGCACTCACTGCCAGCTCAGAGAAACGTTCTAAGGACTGGGCCCCTGTTGGTTAGGGGATCCAGTGCCTGTGGACCTGTGTTAGGAGGCAGGGCACTGAGGTCCGCTGGAGCCAAGAGAAGTCTCCAGAGGGGATCTTGCGGGGAGATCTTTGGATAGGGGTTGGGGGAGAGGGTGGGTGTGCAGGGTACGCCCAGGGTGAGTGTGTTGGGATGGGTGGCAGCGGGTTCAAGGCCAGATCTAGAGACAGCTGGACATAGCTACTGTCCGTGGCCTCCTCTTCATCTCTTCACATGCAGTTTATACCTTGCCTTCCTTCTCTGCTGCTGTCTCTCTCATCACACAGGAGGCAGAGAAGCTTCAGGATGCCCAGCCATATGTTTCTTTACCTCCAGTGGAGAGTGTTAAGGCTCTGGCGCCCTCTTCCTGCTGTTGCCCCACCTCAGGGTCAGCCTCATCCTGTTGATCGGGCCTTCATTGCTTTGTCTCTATCTAGTTATGGAAACCCATCTTTGTGTTTCTTTCTCTATTAAAAAACCAAATCCCCAGTCATTCCCTCAGGCAAGTGTCTCCGAACTAATGCTGTGTATCAAGGCTACTGAACGCCTCAGCTATTCCTGGAGTGAATGGGTGAGATGTTTCCCTCACAGATCAAGAGCTCCTTTAGAGTCAGGAAGTAAAGACCAGGGGTTAAAGGACACTCCATCCAGGCAGCTGTTCTGGCTGTTAATACTCTTGCTTACCAATAGTTTCCTTGATTTCCTTGATTCCTGCTCAAAGGCAGACAGTCTCTCTGGAAACACTAACAATTTACTTCCGTTTTTATTTAAAATATTGGTACTTTTTAATGGTGAGCAATATTAATTAGTAAAACAAAATGCCTTTCTTTATAACTAACTAACTGTTTTGCTAAGATGATAAGTTTGGACATAGACATGAAGTTTTCATTTGCAGTTATCTTGTGTGTGGATATGTGTGTGTGTGTGAGTACATACATACATACATACATACATACATACATACAGTGGAGGGTAGAAGAAGCACTTGGATTCCCCTGGAGCTGGAGTTACAGGAGGTTGTGACTCATTTGACCTGGGTGCTGGGAACTGAAGTCCAGTCCTCTGCGAGAGCAGTGTGAGACCGAAACCACTGAGCAGACTCCAGTCCTTGCTCACTTTGGATCATAAAATTACACGGATGAGCATTTTGCAGTTTGAACTTTGGTAACTTGAGTGGCTCATTTCCTCTTTCTTGAAGCAAGCTTTCAGATTTGGGCCCTTATGTTTCCACCTTGTTCTTTAAGCGTCACTTGTCCCCTTCTGCCCTTCTTTTCCCTTCTCCCCACATCACTGCTGCTCTGTCCAGGTTGGTGCCTTGGCTCAGCATTGGCCATTGAAGGGCACTTTCTTCCCTCCTGAAGTTCCTTTTCTGCCCTGCAGGCCAATCAAAGGCATTGTTGGAGTCCTTTCTGGAACAATTGATTTTATATAGCAGACTAAAGCCACAGGGGTTACAGGAGAGGGGGATCATGGGAGTTCTGATATCCATCATGGGACAGAATGCTTTCTGGCTTGTGTTGGGGTTGCTAGAAGAGCAGAGCTGATGGGATATATATACTTTAAAAGAGTGTTCATTGGATTGGCTTACAAATATCAGAAAAACTCAACATGGCTGTCTTTACACCAAAGAGACCGAGAACCCGGTAGTTGTTTAGTGCACATGGCCGGGTTCCTTAGCAGTCCCAATTTGTGCCAAAAGTCTAGAGGATTCCTGGACAGCCATTCCTGGACAGTCTTCAGTCCACCCCGGAAGGCTGAAGAAGGGCAGGGGGAACCAGGGTTTTGACGCCAGGAAGAGCTGCAGCCGCCACAGCAGCAACAAAGTTGATAAACCTGCCAGCCAGAGTGAGTGCAAGGAGGCCGAAGGCAGAGCTTTTTCTCTTGGTTTTTCTTTTTATCTGGGCTACTACTGGAAGGTGCACCCCCACAACATGTGGGAGGGTCTTTCCACGTCAAATAAGAAAATCAAAACCAACCCCTCACGGGTGTGGCCAAGGCTCACCTTTGAGTTGATTCCAGATCCAGTCAAGTTGGCAACCAAGATTAGTCAATCACAGGCTGCCCAGGCCAGTTTCTCAGCATGAGTTTCTAGGGCAGGAAAAAAGGTGCTTGCACATCCTGGGACAGGTGCAGGCTGCGTGGTTCCTATAGGGAGGACCAGCTCTCACCTGGCCAGTACATATTTCCGGCAGCTAAAGTCAAGAGAGGATGTGTCCTAATGTGTATCAGAAGATTTAATGCTTAGCCCCCAATTTTGGGCTTGATTTGAATGGGGCCTTTTTCACCCCTGGAGCAAAGCAATAATAGAAGAGGTTTGCCAAGGGCTGTTGAGCCCACAGGCTGGACAGTAATGTCACAATGCCACCCAGTCATATGGAGATTTTTTTCCCCCAATGTGTATTGACTTTGACTGAAACCATTTGGGTGACTGCTTTGGGCTTCACTTCCAGCCCTTTCCCTAATAGGTCACTTGTCTGGTCCTGAGAAACAGAAGTAGGACTCTTGTCATGAGTGTCATGGAGGCCTTGTCTTATCTTGCTCCTGTTGGGTTAGAGTCTGGCCACGGGTAGGGGGACTCCAAGGGTGAGGTGGAATTGGAGCCTCCAGGGCTCACAGGCAAGCCCATCTCCGTATTCATTCAGGACACCCTGAGGTCCACATCTGTGCCATCCAAGTGAAACACAATGAGAGCCACATGCACAAATTCATGTCTTCTAAGAGTCACATCAAAAAGGTAAAAAGAGAGATGCTGAGAATGGCTCAGAGATGCTTGCTGTCAAGCCTGAGTTCAATACTGAGGACCTGCCTGGTGGGAAGAGTGAACAGATTCCTGCAGGTTTTCCTCTGACCTCCACACACTCATTATGGCACAAATGTGACTCCCTGCTCCCAAATAAATGTAATAAAAATTTTTAAAGTAGAAGTTTAAAGTAAAAAGAGACATGTGACCTCAACTTGGATAATATATTTTGTTAAATTTAATATATCCAGAACGTTAATATTTCCACATGCAAGCATTTAAAAATTAATGACATATTTAAACAATTTTAAACTTTACTATTTTTAATTAATGTGTGTGTGTGTGTGTGTGTGTGTAAGAGCACAAAGGTGTGTGTATGGGATCAGAGGACAGCTTCTGAGAACTGTTTTTTTCCTTTCACTGAAGCCTTGAACTCAGGTTGTCAGCCTTATGCAGCAAGCATTTCATTTGCTGAGCCACCTCACTGGCCTCATTTATTATTATTATTATTATTATTATTATTATTATTATTATTATTATTATTATTATTGCCGTGTCATTGCTATGTGTGATAGGTGTGTGCTTATGTGGAGCCCAGAAGGAACTCTGGGGGGCTGGTTGGTTCTCTTTTCCCACCTTTACGTGAATTCCAGGTACTGCACTCAGGTCTCTAAGCTTTAAGATAAGAACCTCTACTTAGGAAGCTGCCTCACTGGCCCATTGGCATATTTCAAGTTATTTTTCATATTAAATGTCTGGAATCTGTGATACATTTTATAGTTACAGCACATTTCTACCTGCAAGCTGCTATCGTTTCTATTTGAAATGTCTCTGCAGAGACCATGCTAACTCAAAGGCTTGGCCTCTAGTGTGTCTCCTGCTCCTAAGAGGGAGGTAATGGATCCTTTAAGAGATGAAGCCTAATTTAGGGGGATAAATCTTTGGGGGAGAATTCATGATAATTTTGATCAGGGCCCCCAGCCTCTTCCTTGCCACTGTCTTTGCTTTTCAGCCACTCTGAGGTGCTCTTCCACACTTTCCCACTGTGATATTTGAGGCTATCCCATGGCCAAAGCCACTGTGCTTATTGACCAAGGATGGGACCTTTGAAACTGTTAGCCCACACCTTTCTACCTTACAGGCTGTTTGCCTCAGGTATTTTGTCATAGTGACAGAAAGCAGCTAGTGTTTGCAAACTAGTCATTTGAAATATTTTATGTGTATTTATCTTTCGTACAATTTATACCTGAAAAAGTACACTCATACACAAGACAAGAGACTGCAAGTTCTTAAAAATAGAATTAGGAATAATTTATGTTAGAATTTAAATTTACTGAAACAAGGTAAAATGAAGATTTAATTACTCAATCATGCTAGCTGCATCTCAAGGGCTTGGTAGCTCTTGATCCAGCAGAGTAAAACTTTCTAGTGTTTCTGGGCATCCGCTCATCCATATCCATCCATCAACCCACATCACCCATCTATCCATACTCATCCATTTATATATATCCATTCATCTATGTTCACCACCCACCCATCCATTCATCTATCCATCCATCCATTTACTTCTATCCCTCCATCCATCCATCCATCCACATCCATCCACATCCATCCATCCATCCATCCATCCATCCATCCATCCATCCATCCATTTGTCCATCTGTCTGTTCATATATCCATTCATATCCATCCATTCACCGATATCCATCCATCCATCTATCTGTCCATATCCATTTATTTGTCCAGCCATATCCATCCATTCACCTATACATATTTGCTGAGTATATATGCTAAGCCCTGTACAAGTTATTGGTGGTGATAAAATTCAATGAGGAAGAGTGACTTGTTGTCTTGAAGTTTCTGGGATGGAGGGAGCCAGGGGGAAAGGCACTTTTCTTGCATGCCTCTTGCATTTTACTCAGGAATGAAATGGAGAAGACTTTTAAGTACCTAGCAAAAGTACTGCGAGGCTGGAGAAATAGCCTAGTTGGCAAAGCACATACCTTGCAAAACCCGAGTTTGATCCTCCGAACCCATATTTAAGAAAGCTGGGTGTGGGGGTGCCTGCTTGGGTGGTGGCACATGCCCTGGGAGGTGGGTACACGAGGGCTCCTGGGGTTTGCTCCAGCCTAGTGAGAGAACTTGTCTCTAAACAAGCAAATGAAAGCACCGCCTGAGGAAGGACACCCACGATCCTCTCACATACAGACACACAGAGTTCACCAGCACTGGTGAACTGAATTATTCCGCCTTCCAATACCACATACCATCTTGTGTTTCAGAGGCTGAGGACATAAAATACACTCCTTAGATAGTCTGCCAACCAGCCGAACCTAGGCAAGACTCACGACTAAATTCTCTTCTCTATCTCTGTGTGTGTGAGAGTGAATGAGTGAGTGACAGAACAGGACATGAAGTATTTATTTGAGGAGCTCAAAGTTTGACTCTCAGCTCTCACATATCTTTCAGCTCTTCCAGGGGGGTTGTGAACTATGGAGGTTCTACAGTATATTGTTTACGCTTTAACGAATCAGACACTTAAAGGCCCCTGTCCAATGTGCCAATGTGTCTTCACCTGCTCAGGCCATCTTTTATGCGGCATCATACCCTTTCTTTCTGGCAGATGTTAAAGTGTCTGTGATATCATGAAAGAATATGAAGAGAAAGGGTAATATTAAAGCCTTTCTACTAGACAAAACAAAAATGTGGCAGTCAGTCCTGGTTGGGAGATGGCTCTGCAGTTAGGAGTCCTTGCTATTCTTTCAGAGGATCCAAGCTTTGTTCTCAGAACCTATATTGGATGGCTCACAACTGCCCATAACTCCAGCTCCAGGGGAATCTGCTGGTCTCTTCTTGCCTCTATGGGCACCGCGCTCTGACATATACTCAACACAGTCACACTCACATACACATAAGACACAGATATAATCAATATTTTAAAATTATGATAATCCTATGTTGATGCTCTCTTTCCTAAACTAAAAAGCAAAACAGAAAATAGGAAAGCCTAGATTTCTTTCTTTTTAATATGAGATTTTTACGTCATAGTCCAGGCTGGCCTCGAACTTGCAGCAATTCTCTTGCCCCAGTCTCCTGGCACTGGAATTATAGGTGGGAGATCTAGAATGATTTTTTTAAAAAAAAGAGATACATCATCTTTAAAAATTTTTTAAATTTAATTTATGTGTAAGAGTATTTTGCCTGCATGTGTGTATTTGCACTGTGTGTGTCTATACTCGAGGAAGCTAGAAGAGGTTATCAGATTCCCTGAGTTACAGATGGTTGTAAGCACCAGTATGGGTCCTGAAAGCAGAACCTCAGGCCTCTGGAAGAGCATCCAGTACTCTTAACCACTGAGCCATCTCTCCAACCCAATTATTCATCCTTTCAAAAGCCTTACACACGAGTTTATTCATTGCTCAGTATATATATCTGACAGCTTTGTGCATAAGATCATATTGGACTTTCACTTATTCTCTTATCTGTAGGTAATCTTTCTCATGCTGGCTTTAATCTTGTCTACACTAGTTTCTTGTTAGCAGAGATGTTACAGCTTCTGGCCAAAAAAATATTAACATTAATCTTAGCTGGTTAGTACCATTGTGTTATAGAGATATTAGCCCAAGGACAGGTATATGCTTAATATTAGGCATCAGCCTTCAGGGTGAGAGCAGATTCAGTTTCTAAACATACTAGGAAGGATAGCAGCAGAGCGTAAAGAATAATGTTTGGGAAATGCTGAAGGTGGTGAAGATGGGATTGTGAAAAAATAAAGTTCCCTAGTGGAGTAGAGTGGAGATGGAGTGGACAAAGATCCAGTGAGTCACCCTCCCAGCCTTGGGAATCTGGGATACACATAGGCATACAGCTAGGTGTGGTGACCCACACCTTTGATCCCAGCCCCCAGGAGGCAGAGGCAGTTGGTCTTTGTGAGATCACGTGGCATCCACAGGAAGGAAGTGGTGGTGGGGGCTACTGCTGCCCGGCTTCCTCTCTCCCATCTACAGTTTAGGATCTGGCCACAGTGGATGTATCTTCCCACTTCCTCACATCAATGACCATAGAAAGGAGAACCATCCGCAGGCATGCCCAGGGACCATCCACCCCGGGACTCTAGATTCTGTCACATTGATGTTTAGCATCAACCATCGCAGTTACCTATTATAAGCCGGCAAATTGCTCTCCAAGTCAATGACCACCACCATGTTTACCACGTTTATCAAGGCCAGGACTGAGTAATTTTGCATGTGGGCCTTCAAGAGGCTACCGTTGGCTGAAGGTCTGATGGTCTACACTCTCTGTGGTTTGCCTTTTGATACCAGTTGGGGTCCCTAGTCTTGGTTTCTCTCCATGGACTTCTTGAGAGTCCTGGTAATGTGATGGTGACATCATTCATTCCTAGGTGTTCTATTGGGTGAAGACAGCTGTGAGCTCTCTGCCTTGGAGCCGCTCTCTGCCAGGCAAGTCAAGAGCATCCTTCTTTTCAAGTTGTTTGAAAATGGAGGAGGCTAACTTTATGTATTCGTTTCTCTTTTCAGTCTGCTGTGTTGAAATATGATTAGATTGTGAAGTGGCTAAATAGAGGTGATTAACACACGCCTTACGTCATGCGCTGATTTCTTGTGATGAGAACACAGAAGCCGTTGCCTTCACAACAGGTGTCAAACACAACATGCTGTTGTTAAGTGGGTTGAAGGAAGGTTTTCTTACTCTTTACCCAGAGGCACCTGGGAGTAGTGTTTAATTATTTTGTAGAAGCTTTAACAGTTCAGGGTGATGGCTCAGCAGTTAAGAGCACTGGCTGCTCCTCCTGAGGACTGGGGTTCGATCCCCAGAACCTACGTGGTGTCTCACAGCCACCCGTAATTCCAACATCTGGTGCCGTCTTTTGACCTCCAAAGGCACCAAGCACACGGGATAAAAGATACACATATAGAAAAGGTACCCATACGCATAATATAAAATAAATGAATAATAAAAAACAAGTTATGTTTTGTCTGTATGTAAATGTGTGTGTGTGTGTGTGTGTGTGTGTGTGTGTGTATGTGTCTGTGTGTGCACTTGTATGGGTTCACACACATGTGTGGGCCACTCAAGGGCTATTGCTCAGGTGTCTTACATTTTATTTCTTTATTAATAAAATACCCTTATATTTTATTCATTTGTTTATCTATCGCTTTTAGAGACAGGGTCTCTCATGGCCTAGAACTTGGCTGACCAAAGAGCCCCAGGGACCCACTCCTTTTCCCCTCCCCAGGGCTGGTATAACAAGTGCTTAGTACCACACTTTTTTTTTTTTTTTTTTTAGGCATGGGGTCCTGGGGTTTAAACCCCACTCCTAATGCTTGCAAAGCAACTAGCTTACAAACTGAGCTATGTTCCCAGCCCCGTGGTGCACTTTGGCCCTCATTTCTCAATAGAACAACCCTATAAGGCAAGCAAGCTAGGTTGTGATGTCCCTATTTTGTAAATGAGGAGACTAGGGTCTGTGGCAGTACAGGATTAGTGTTAGGAAGCAAACAGGCTTGGGATTCCATCTTCTCTTTCCCAGCTCTGTGGCCCTGAGTGGGTTGCTCAGCCTTCTGCTGCATTTCTTTCTTTCATTCTCTGTCTCTCTGTCTCTCTCTTGTTTGCTTTCTTGTTTGTCTAGAGACAGGGTTTCTCTGTATAGCCCTGGCTGTCCTGAAACTCCCTCTGTAGACCAGGCTGGCCTCGAACTCACAGAGGCCCTCCTGCCTCTGCCTCCTGGGTTCTGGGATTAAGTGCATGTGC